TTACAGAATCCCTTGATTTGAGGATAACCTTCTTACTAGCCAGTCCCTTTTGCAGATTCTCACTTAGGCATATTTTGTTTATTATCTTTTTTCAACACCCACATCCTAATCCTCCCTCCTGTGGTTTATACTGTTTTGTCTTGAATATAGATTTTATCTTACAGTTTCTTCCTTTATTGTTTATTGAAATCTAGAATGATTTCCAATCTGAACAACACCAGCACAATCAAGCCCTCGGTCATGGCCAATTGAGACTTGGTACTTTTGCAAAATGGAGAATTCAACCCCTTTGAAATTCCATCAGTCTCATCCATAACAAACTTTGGGTCAACCCATGAAAACAATTTTCAGGCAGCACGGAGAAAAGTACCAACTTGGAATTGTCCCTCTTCAGACTGATAATTTCTCCTTCCTGACAAATTAACTGTCATCATGTTCAGAAAGTGAACGTTCTAACCATTACTCAGTCTAGAGGCCCTTAATATATATATATATATATATATATATATATATATATATATATATATATATATATATTCAAATGTATTTTAAATAATCCGAAATTATTTTATTATCACATTTTTTTGAGTAGTGTTTTAAAGGTGTTTTTGCTGAGTTAAACTTTTGTGTTGATGCCTAAATAGGAAGTTCACTAAAGAAACTGTCCATTAATGATATGAACATTGATTGATGGATTTGTCTTTGGTTTCAGGTTTTCTTTATTTTTATTCAACTTAGGTGACACTATTTTTTCGGACATGACACAAATTCAGGTTTTTAATGATTTAGTTGGAAAACGTCTACAAATCCAAATTTTCTGCATCTAAAGGGTAACCCTGACCATTACATTTGAGTATTTTTATCATTCACTGTGAAAACGAATTAAAATCCTGAAGAAGCAATATTCAAAAAAGTTATTTGGTCCAAAAGAAAAGTTATGAAAAGATCCACATATTGAAATGAAGCTATTGAAGTATAATAGTTGAATACATGCTAATGTACAGAGGACCTGCGGAAGAAAACATTTTGGAAAAAAACATTTTTCCTTAATAAAAAGAAGAATGAATTTTCATTTTACGAGGTTGTTATCATTTGGAGAAAAGGTGTCAGCGAAGAAAGTAAAGGAGAAGTTGTGAATTTTGATGTCAGTGTTCAAACTGTGAAAAAAAGGTCACGAAATTGGACTAAGAGTATGCTAAAATCAAGCAAAAGAATTAGGTAATGACAAAATTTAAGGAGGCAAGGCTGAAAAGCCCAAAAGATGGATAACAAACCATGTCGATTATCTGAAAGTGATATTTACTGATGAAAAATTTGTAGATGCATAAACAAAAAAATGAACTTTTTATCAATCTCAAGGCTTATAGACAGATGGGATATAGGAGAAGAAATGGTTTGGGGTATGGACATTTTCTTCAAAAAAATGGATTTTTATGGCTCAAATACAGTGGTTAAAAGGATATAAAATACATCAAGCTAAAGAGAACCTTTGGAAAAAAGAGCCAAAAACCACTCAATTAGAAAAAGAAATGGGAACAAATTTTATTTTGAAGAAAAGATAACTGCAGCATCCATATGGCCAAATCAGTAAAAATTGGTGAAGCAAATATATTCTCTGGAATGGCCTGCAAGAAGTCCAGACTTAATTTTAATTGAAAACATATGGGAACAATTATTTTGCAGAGACTTTATTAATAATTATTTAAAAAGAGAGGCTGAACTGTGGCTAGCGCGGATACAAGATGCCCAAAAATAGACTGCTAGAAACACGAGGTGACATTATTATCAATATGATACGAACATTATGAAGATAAACTGATTTCTATCATTGAAAAAAGACATTCAGGCCATAAACTATTAGCATTGTTTATGCAATAAAAATACTGTCGCTTAAATATTTGTACCTATAAAAAATTTGTAAAAAAAATAAAAATGTCTTCTAATTTGAATTCTGCTTTTCCATTTGTAGTATTGAAACATTTTTTAAATGTTATTGCCATTACACTAAAACAGTACAGACTGCCTGTGCTACCTAAAACGTGAAAAAATAAAGTGTCTGAAAAATAGTATCAGCCCCCTGTAGTCATAATTAGCATTATATCAAATATTAAGAATTTAGTAATTAGGCTCCTCAAATTAGTGGAGAGAATTATCAATGATAATGTTCTGGCTTTGACACCTTGGTTATCTCCCTTTAACCTTTTCTATGTTTTTTATTTTTAAATGTACTTATCGCATAAAATTTGGTGAGGAATGAGCAAATTTTCATTCTGAAAGTGCAACCCAAAGAAAACAAGTTTGGGAAACATTGGTTAAGGAATAAGATTCATTTATCTGTCTTAAGGTAAGATTATCTCAGTGTCTAGCAAGATAGAAAAAAAAAATGACAAGAGGATTGACTTTTATTGCTTACATTGATTAAATTCCAAGTCTGTGCTAAGGTGCAAAAAGATAACGTCAAAAAATATACGGAAAAAAATGCGAGGAAAAATATTAAAGAAAAAAATGTCAAAAAAAAAGCTTATGGTTTAAAAAGCAAACTCTTTAATGGCATTGGCAACTTACTTCTGGTAGCGGACTACAACTTTCTAAGTCCACTTGTGTTATTGCATCCAGATTGTCAACGATTTCCGCTGAAACAGCAATTAAAAGTCGGCCTCTGTAGGAGACGCCCTCTCCGAGGCCATCGTTCAAGTATGTGTGTTCACTAAGGAGACTGTAGTATCGTGTTGAACCATATAAATTTACCCAGGTAGGGCCATAGGTAGGAAGAAAACCTACAATAAAATAAAACAGAAATAAATTAGAATTTGTTATAGACATGATTTATAGAATTTATAATATGCAATTATTACATATATGGTGAAGGTTGTAATGAACTGTTCCCCACATGGAATGGACATCTCTTGTTTCCTGTGAATGTTTTCATAATCAATTGATGCTGTAACCATAATAGTTGTTCCCCATAATACTTGCAAACTCAACAATACAAAAGGCTTTGAGCGAGTAAAGCCTGAGGCAAAGATCATCCTTCGTTGAGTATTGTGGACTGGTGCAACAGAATTGCAAACAAATAACAGAAACCACTTTACTTGAGGACTACCAATAGTAGAAATGACTAAAATGGATAGCAGATGTAACTTGAAGAGAAAATAATGGCATAATCAAGATGTTGACATTCCACACTATTTCAAACAAAAGGTTAGGAAGGAAATTAAATTGCTTTCATTTAACCACCATAGAGAAACTTCTCTGTCTGTCATCAACAAGGTTGATGCTAGACTTCTGGAGAACAACACACTGCACCTTCTTGGCCTCATGTTTTTAAATGACTTGAAGTGGAGTGACTACATCAAATCAATAGCTGCATCTACTGCAAGGAAAGCTGGGTCACTGTATCATACCAGAAAATATGTCAGGATCCATCTTGCACATTTACAAATCTAGCACTTGTTTCTGCATTGAATACTGCTACCATATCTGGTCTGGTGCTCCTGCTATTCATCTTGAGCTTCTTGACAAAATTCCAAAGAAGGATCTGCAATATAATCAGTCCTGACCTGGCATCTCGACTTCAGTCACTTTCTCATCAACATGGTGTGGTTTCCTGCTGCTTCTCTACAAATATCTTCAAGGAAACTGCACTGATGGGTTTTTTCCCCCTGATGCTCTGACTACACAGATTTAAGCATGCTACTACATTGGCATCTAGGTCCCACCCTTTTACAATTGAAATAGCTAAAAGAAACTGCCACTTCTACTTCAACAGTTTCTTTTCTCACACTTCTTGCCTGTAGAACTGTTCCATTTACTTCATTGATAACTACAATCTTCAAAAATTTAAATTTAATGTCAATTGCCATCTTCTGTTTTCTTAAATCCTGTTCATTTTTTTTTTTGTCAATCCTCCCTATACTCAGTCTTCTTTCACTTTCACTCCCTGTAACCTCTTGTGTACCCATGGCATTTCCACCTTGCTTGGGATGAGATGATAAAAAAAAAAAAACAACAACAAAAATCCCCCCAAAAAACTGAAAACAAGTACTGGAAAGAGCAATAACTGCTACTGGACTTGAGAAATCTGTTTTCCTAAATAATTGTTTTAAGAGGAAAATTTTATAAATTTCACCTGGAAGTAGATCTGGCTGTTCAATAAATGAATACCAAATGTTTCCTTATAAGGAAACAGCTAATATTACTATTAGCATTATCAGATGTAAGTGCAGACACAATGAAATTATTTCTTTCCGTGACACAATGTTTATTTCATACGCCACGCTGAAAATTTTTCAAATGGTGTGATTATTTTGTACCAGGAATCAAAAATTCACACCAGAACACTTATTTGTTACTGGAGTGACCATTCCAGATAGCATTTGTATTTAGCAAAAGTGAGTAAACTCCCCCTACACTATTTAGTACAAACTAGTATCCGAATCGTGGAATAAATTATTTTAAATATTAAGCCTCATACATATGAATTTATATATTCATATATTTATATGACCTTGTATGCTTAAATTTGTCTGGTTTCATTTTATCATTTGATTCTATACAAAACAGTAACTACACTTTGATTAAGCGAACTGGTGCAAAACATTGTGCTGTTTCTTATTTTATTTTCCACACACACATACACACAATAAAAATTAATTCACACCACGTGAAAAAAAATACAATTGCTTATGTGAATTCATTTCCTTACCATGCCCTGTGGGGTAAAAAACAAGGCTCAGGCAACCCAAAAGTTCGGAGAAAAGTGAAAACACACCACGTGGTTAAAAAATATGATTTATTGACCAATCAGGACTCGACATAAGAAACCCATTTTTAATCTATGTTTTGAGCCTCATCATTCTTATATAAGGAAATAGAAACTCTCATCAGAAGGGAGAGAGAACAGCGACAAGCTGACATCAAAGCGACACGGACAGTTTGAGCACACACACACCGAGAGGATTCATGGTTCACACAACAGGCAATATCACGTATCAGTGAACATTCTTTCACCAGAAATCTCTTTTCTCTCATCTCTCTGACACATAGTCCTACCTTTCCCTCTCACATTCCCAGTTCCTTTCTTTCTCGGTTTTTTTCTTCCGCAGCTTTACGGACAATTTCATTTTTGTACAAGGAAAAAATAATTCTTTACAAAAATAAACAAAAGTTTATTTTACTTTATTTGTAGTGTATTTTCTTTTTATTATTTGTTTGAGGGACTTCTTTGCACCCTCTACAACATCCCAGAGGGAATGTTTATTTGAACCGGCATGCTTATTTTGTAAGTTTATAAATTCTTCCTGGTATAACTATTACAAATGACATTTGTATTTGTTATAAAAGAGCATGCATCCTACAATTCCTCAGATCATGTGATCAGAGTAGAGCGAAGAAAATGGCGACTTACTCATCAAACCAAGCGACAGTGCATCGCATGTATCCTACGACAGAAAAGAAAATTACTTACCAAAATAAAAGGGCATGTATTCCGCATGACATACGGAAGACAGAATATTTAGATTAAAAACAAGTCCGTTGCAGGAGTCTCTATAAAAGTATTTTGATATGCAAAATACTTGGTGTCCTCTCCCAGTTGTCGATGAATGAAAAAACTGCTTGGCCAATAAAAGCATTTGGTGTTCTCGAATCAGGAGGAAAAACAAAAGCTGATGTATTTTGGCTACTGTGTTCGTTGGCGAGTGAGTTTTTTTTCTGACTTGTTATGTGCATTGGGATTTGTGAGCTAGTACCTGCGAATCGAGTTTTCGGTATTTCTTTCTGTCCCTGATATTTGAGTCTGAATTTAAAGTGATTTGTTCTCTATGTTGTGGAATTAATCTGCAACAAACATTTCCTTTGCTTTCAGAATGCTAACACAGACAAACCAAAAAATTCTCTGTTGAGTTTTTTGTAATTACTCAACCTTCCCACAAGCTCAGATTGTGACACAAGGTTGGTTAAATGTGGGGAAATTCTATATTGAGTTAGTATCACTAAATAATTCAGTTTCACAATATTTCTAAATGAAAATCCAAAATTAAATCAAAGCGCTACCAAAGAATTTGTTTTTTTTTTACTACCAGTCAGATGCAGCAGCTAGCCAACCCAGTACCCTTGTAAGAGAAAGTCGAAGCCACTGGTTAGTCTGATCACCAAAAAGTTAAGACAGTTGAATCATTATGGCGATGAAAGAAGAATGAACAAGTAAACCATATCCTAAACAAGTAAAACGGGATGATCCTCTACTCCTGTTCAAATAAACATGGAAAAGCCCACTTTTAGAATCACTACTTTAGAGAAAGAAGAGTTTCCTAATAAATTATTGTTATGTGACTTCTGTTGGTCCGGCAAAAGGGCTGATTTGGTTACTGAACGTAGCCGTAGGGACCAAATGTAGCCAAAGGGTTGATCCAGGCAAAGTGTTGATGCAATGCTTATGTTTCTATCTTCACATAGAAACATAAACATTCTGTCAGAGGTGTATTATTGAATTGTTTCTTTTTTTTCATACTAAATTTCACCCAATACAAACTTGAGAGCTAAACCAAGTGGAAGGTTACTGTTAAAATGATGTTAATGAAGGAGAAGTGTGATATGAATGGAAAAGGAAGAGATAGAAAGTAAAGATTATAAGGATGAGGAGCAAAGATAATGGCTGATTCTTGTCATGTAAGAGGTCAACATTTATGCATTCAGGAAGCATCCACATGGAAGTTTGTTCCACAAAAAAGCAGTTTTTGGGGGAAAAAAGCTGAGTGGAACTTTCTCTTTGCATTTAGAATTTGAAAGAAATAAGGGTGATACGACTCCATGGAAGTGGCATGGCAATGATACATTTGTGAGATGGAAGCTGCAAAGTGTAGAATAAGTCTTCCCTCATAAGACCATGTAAACAATTTTGAATTCCTCCAAGACTAGACAGGGAAAATTATTATTACATGACATCTGTCTGGCAAAATGAATAATTTGGCACATTTCTGAAATCAAAAGTGCAGGAAAATTTATCATGTTTGTTATAAGTTGTCTATTTTAGAGTACTAAAACATTTGAGCATTCACATTTTATCATTTTCTTTTAATAAGTTCTATATAATTAATGTTGATTTCTCTTAATCGAAATTAAATGGCAAGTACAATTTGTGAAATAATTTGTCATCTTTGTTATAAGTTGTCTATTTTAGAGTACCAAAACATTCAAACATTGACAGTTGTTATTTCTCTTAATTAAACAGGTAGAAAGCAAGAAAAATTTGTGAGGCACTTACCTTTTTCTCCTTCATTGGATATCTTTCCAAGGTCAATAAAATGTGTGCCGATCACATCGTCATTGACACTATCATTATCCCGTAATTGTATCTTGATTCTGCGACACAGAGGTGGGAACATTTCATTAAAAACCAGCTGTTCATTCCACACTGGTTCATAGGCACCTTTCCTCACAGAGGTTTTGCCCTAAAAGAATAAAAACTAAGGTTCAGAAATTTTAATTTATTTTGATGCATCAAGCAATGCCACCAGTTTAAAAGGTGACTCTCTACAAGGGAGTATAAAGGAATTGTAAATGAACACTGTTTTTATTTGTTTTATTGAATATTTTTATTCAATCCCTGGCAAGAATTACATCTTGGCTTTCTGATACCAAAATTGGTCAAGAAACTAGAGATTATAGAATTTAAGAATAATTTGGGAATAATCTAATAAATAAAAGGAATTAAATTTTTTTAAACTGTTAGTATGCAAAAATGAACAATGGATCTTGGGAATACTATTAATAAACAGCTACCTATTTTGAAAAATCACCAAGCATGAAACTGCACTGTTAATAAGTAAATGTTATTTTATGTGTATTAAAAAGCAATTTTAAAAGAATTTAAAATAATGGACTATATATATATATATATATATATAAAAAGGTAAAAGACAATAGGATTATTATTATTAGCCGACACGTTTCATCCAATATGGAACTTTTTCAAGGCAAAAACAAAATTAATTTATTGAAAACAAAGTAACTATTAACAACAAACAAAATGTCCTTAGATGGAATGATTTTTTTTTTTTGAGATAATGATTTACTGATAGAAGTCTTACTAATTAACTTGTAGCTGGGAGGAGGGTATTTGTGCATTAGTAAACATAACGAACCCAACTGGAATTTGAACTCCCCTCTCTGATTAACTATTCCAAGATATTAACCATTATGCCACCCACACATCCAAGATTATAGCACCTGGTATTTGCAAGCAGTCTAGGTGCTGACCAAGCTTAATGTTGCTTAACTTTGGTGATTGTCTGGGAACCAGTGTTTTAATGTGACATGGTCATAAGCTTCTTACAGGATTCATTTACTTGTTATTTGGCATTTCTTACCTTTCGTCCAGCAAAACTGACTTGCACAAATGGGTCAACCAAATCTCTGGCCTCCCCAGTCAATGCTCGCTTCACATTGGCCATTATTCCTGTATTCATTTTTGGTAAACCTTCTGCTTTGTAGATCTTCACAATAAATCTGGCTCTCTGTCTGTCAACAGGAACCCCTTCAGGAAGCAGGAGGTTTCTGCAAGAAAAGCAAACCAAAGTAAGAATATCTGAGCAATTGGCAGGATAAAGAAATGTCATTAATGTATCCAATATTATTCACACTATTTACATACGAACTATTGCCCTCATCTTTGTTGTCGTCATCAGAATGTTTTGGCTGATGTGACTTCCACCCATCATCAGGTCCAAGTAACCTAAAGAGAATTCTAAACTAAACCCTTTATTTAATCTACAGGGGTGAACTGTTCTCATTCCACTGCCCATATCTAAGGATATCTATTTTAGTTCTTATTTTTCATGCTGCTCAAGTTATGACAGTAAGTTTCCAACAACAGCAGCAGCTGTAATGAAAATATATATATATATATATATATATATATATGTGTGTGTGTATGTATAATTGTAGAATTATTAATTATAAAATCTAATGAATTTATATGGTGAAGTTTTCTAATGGTGATTTGATGCCAGTGAACTTTCCTGTGGAGAACTGAGGGTGGTGACGTTACCCATAAACAACAAAAAGAGGAAAGCTCCAGTGAGTGCAGCTAAGCATGGCAAGCAGCAGCACTCATCAGCAGTGCAGTGTGGGTCAGGTTTAAGGCTCCAGGTTCTCCACAGAGAATTGTTCCACATGGATTAAAGCATTGGTTCATGAATTTAGTGACATAGTAATTGTGAGTTCAATCCCTGGGTCGGGCAGTGTGTACTTGGACTCAGTGATAACAGAGTGAGCAATAATTGAGCAGCACTGAAAATAAGAAATAGACAAGTTATCTCCCCTGGACAGAGGCAGTGGAAGGAGAACAGTCTTCCCCCCATAGATTAAATAAAGGGTTTAGTTTGGAATTCTTTGTAGGTTACCAAGATTGACCTGCGCCTAATGTGTCAGAGGGCACAATGGCCAAAATGTTATGAATAAGAAAGATGGAAAGAAAAGTCCACATGTAAAATTCCAGAAATTCAGACAGAAAGAAAAGTATGCATAAGTTTTTTAAAAAGTCAGTGACCAATTTGACACTATACCAATATTATAAATATCCCCACCATCATTCGAAAATTATATAAAAAATAAATATCAATATTTTTCCGTTCTAACAAATGTTGTAAAATGAAAAATGTCAAATGAATAGTAATATTTCCCATACGAGGATTTTCCTATTTTTTTTTTATGAGTGGACCAGTATACTTAAGTCATTTCTAAAAACAAATCAAAAAAGTATATTCACACTGACATTTTTTATTTCAAGTGATTTCAAAGACTCAAATCACAAACAACAAACTTGATTACAACTTCATTAAAAGTCAGAAATTAAGTCAGTGAAATGACATTTTATGTCATTGGGCATTCAATAGATCTTTACTAAGACACTATTAAATAACTGCTGCCCAGTGTATTTTCATTGATAAGCTCAACTTAGTCTGGCACAAGGCCACTATAATAGAGTATTTTAGGGTGTAGGGTTAGACCCTGTAAAATAGAACTTGCAACTTAGGGAGTAGTATTAGGGTTAGACCCTGTAAAACAGAACTTGCAATTTAGGGTGTAAGGTCAGGGTTAGACCCTGTAAAACAGAACTTGCAATTTAGGGTGTAAGGTCAGGGTTAGACCCTTTGAAACAGAACTTGCAATTTAGGGTGTGCATGATTTTACATTCATCAGAAAGTAGTATTTCAATTTAAATTAAAAATTTAGGAAAAGTGCTTTCTTACGATTCAATGTCATCATCGTCATGATCATTTTTAGGTGGTACCTGCAGTGAAGAAAGAAAGAAAAAAAAACAAGAAATGAATTTAGGTCAAGAGAATCTGAAACATTAAAATATTAAAGAAAAGAGTGTTGTATCAATCCTCCTATATGACAGGGAATGTGGAACAATTTCCTGAAAGATGAATAGAAGACTTGAGGCAAGAGAAATTCCATTTTATGGAAGGAGGTTGAGAATATCACAGAGAGAACATGAGAGCAACAAGAAAGTTTTATGTAAAATAAATGAATTAAAACAAAAATTTGCATTAAGAATCAGAAACTGACAGTTGAAAGTTTTTTTTATACGAAGAAGAAAGAAGGTTCAGAGAATACACTTACAAGATGTACTGGAAACGAGAGATTGTTTGATCGTGTTTTGTTTAGCATCATATCAACTTCTATAGGTTATTTAACGCCAAAATCTAAAATATTTTGTAAGCAATTTTATTTATTCATTTTGGAGATAATAAAGGTTCTAGTGATACGAGTCTTACTAATTAACCCATACCTGGGGGAGAAAGGTAGTTGTGCATAAGTAAATATAATGAACCCAAATGGAATTGGAACTCGGCTTTCTGATTAACAATTCTGCGCTATTATCCATTATACTATCCACACTTATAGCACCTGGTATTCCCAAGTAGTAAACCATCTAGGTAATGACCAGGTTCAATATTGCTTAACTTTGCTGATATGGCTGTAAGCCTGAAGGCAAGATAAGCAGATGGAAATATAAAATAACATACCTTATGAGATTGCATAAATGGATGCTAGAACAGAAACTGGGAGGGATAGTAAGAAGACAAACATCACTTAGTGTTACAAAGGACAGGAAGTTGTGGAGAGCCATTATCAACCTACCTTGTGTAAATAGATGGTAGAACATAGACTGAGAAAGAATAGTAAGAAGACAAACATTACTTACTGCTACAAAGGACAGGAAGTTGTGAAGAGCCACCTACCTAATGTTTAAAGTATCCGGGTAGGTAATTCTTGGTTCAGATTATTCAAACTAGCAATACCTGTGAAAATTCCATGGTTGTGCAATTTGATGAATCTGCCATTCTTAATTTAATGATTGAATAAGTGAGTTCCACAAGTATAAAATACCTGTAGAAATTCCTGTATCGTATGATTAAATATTTGAGTATAAAATATTTGCAATAAAAATCATAAGTATGAACACAGGCCATGATTTACAGAAGTAAGAGGATACAAATGAAAAGATTTAAAACTGACAATATTTTCCATTTCATTGAAGCAGACGTTAAACACACGAGAGTATTATCAACTCTATCTTCCCCATTTTTTCTTTCTTATGTATGCTTTCTTTTTCTCCCTAAAACCAAACAGCATTTCTGATATTTCTTTTCCTGGTGCCTTTTGCTACAATCGAAATTGGATGGTCTGTTATTTACTGAGGCAATCACAAGATGTAATGTATGCTAACAAGCATTCTGGCAACACCTTGTAAACATGACATGCATTTAAGTAACAATTGTTGATTAACACATCCGTTGATGTCGATAAAATTATACATCTCCTACATGAAAAAACAAAATTGATCGACTTCCTGAACTCCATCCCGTCTCATAGAGCAAAGTCTCGGTTATATTTTTATCACAACCAGGGAAATCTCAAGACTTACCAAAAGTCTTGACACTAAGAAGGTTACCGATTCTGATAAAATCCCAGTGGCTGTTCTTAATAATATTAACCCAGACTTATCCCTGATCTTAGCAAAACTATTTAACAGCTGCTTGAAGAAGAAATCATTCCCAATTCTGTGGAAGGTCAAGTGTATATTCCATTTCCAAGAATGTGGGTGTGCACTCATCCCCATCTTAATATAGACATATCAGACTACTATCATTAGCAAACTTTTTGAAACTATAATCAACTAGAAGTTTCTGTTCATCTCAAAAGACATGACCTCTTAAAAGAAAAAAACTTGTAGTTCCAGCGAATGATTTATTTTATGGAAATATTTAGATGCAGCACAACTCCATCCTGTCTGGCCCTCTTTGCTTCAAAGAAAAATGATATGGGAAAAAAAAGGGCAATTCAATTTGTAGAGTAAAAAACAATTTTTTTTTTTATGCCTTAACTTGCTCTGTCTAAACGTCATCATTTTTCTTGATTTAAATTCTTAAGCATTTCTGGTTTCTTTGCACTGTTTTTACTCAAACTAAGGAGTGACCAAGATTAGCAACTGCTAGTCGAAATATTTCCATAAAATAAATCATTCGTTGGAACTACAAGTTTTTTCTTTTAATTATGCAACTACTAACAGAGACAAGCATCCTAAGATTGGCATGACCTCTTAACTGACAAACAGTACAGATTTCAATTGGCTCTGTCTATTGCTGGTATTCTATCATTACTCACAGAATAAGTGAGGCATTAGACAATAAATACCTCAAGGATGATTGCATTAGATATTTCAAAGCCCTTTGGCAAGTTGACAGAAAAAGTTAATGCACAAAGTCTCTAGTTATGGAATTACTGGAGGAGTCTTAATTGTCAAGTTCTTTCTATTGTGTACACTAACCATTATCTTCTTCACATATCCCCATAAACTGTCTTACCCTGTAAGCTTCTACCTTGAGTGGCTTTTAGGCTTTGTACAGGGTGAATATTATTGTAAAAAAAAAAAAAAAAATTGCCTGCTGTCAACATATATATATTTTTTCTACATACGTGTGAAAGCATGTGCAATACCTTGCCCTCATCAGCCAGGGGAGGCAACTCAGTTTTGGTGGCTAAGGTGCTACTGCCACCCTTGGTGCGACCAGTAGCTTTTGCCTCCAGACAGTTTTTCAGTGTAGACATGTCAGTCTTTGCAATTTTTATGCAGCTGCAAATCAGATTTTCTAATGTTGGGTTCAAGAAAAGTGTTTGCTTTTGATTGTTAAACAAAACACAATGTGCTCATAGTGACCGTTATCAATGATGTATAATAGAACGTGTGTGTGTGTGTATGCATGCGTTCAAGACACTGTCAGTCTGTAGTGTTTAGTGCTATTTCCAAATCCACACAGGCATACTATAGAACCTGTTCTGTGATGTATTTGATTCTAGTGAAGAATTTTACTTGTACACTGCCTTAGCTTGATGCTATCATAACACATTAACAGCAAATGCCAAAGTTTTTAAAATATTCAATAATCAAATAATAAATAACACAGATCTTCTGGTGTTTATTCCATTCTGTCATTTGAAAATTGTCTTCAAATGAAGAAACTGGACAAAAAAATAATTTTGTAACTCACCGTGACTATTTTTGGAATATAAAAACTTAATATTTACACTTTATCTGCCTTCTTATTTTCCTTTCTTCATTTTAGACAAATTGAATATTCTTACATGGTCAAATTTTCACTCCTTCAAACTTCCACAAATCATTATCAGTATTTATTTTTTTTACCTAAATAAATCTTAAGTGGATGCCAATTAGATTTGTTTTAAAATAATTATAAAAAAAAAATATTTCAAACTATTTTTGATCAATATAAGTTTCTTTATTTTTACTCAAATTTCATGCTAAGACTTATTTTGTTGAAAGTAAATTTATTGTCTTAGTCGAAAATTCTGGTTTCTGAAACCATGGATTCTTCTTACATTTCTTTGTTCCTCAAAACTACAATCTTTATTTGATAAAATAAAATATATTCATTATCATTCCAATTGTGTCATCAAAATGAAGAAAAGTAAGAACAGTAACTCTGTATAAAAATGCAGAGTTATTCCCCTTGTTCTAGTCACCACAAGGGGCCTGTAACGTAGGAATTGATATTATTCAGTTGGGGTATTCGTTGTTAACGCAAGACCAAACAATAAATCTATTAAACATACAATGCTTGGACAAACATTCTTACAAGCTTACGATATATTTTGCATTATTCTAATGTCCATATTTCAAAAGTATGTAAGTTTAAGTAGAAAAAAAAAGCGTTTTCTTTTTTCACTGAAAAAAAAAAAAAAAAAAAAAAACAAAAAACGGAAAACAAAAAACTGAACGAAGTAAAATAAAATAAAAAAATGAAAATAAAGAAATGAAAATAAAGAAATGAAAATAAAGAAATGAAAATAAAGAAATGAAAATAAAGAAATGAAAATAAAGAAGCAACAAGAAGTCAGTAAATTGACAAGACATTTTAGATTTCCTGCAAAATTGTTTTCTTCTTATATTGTTGCATCTCGATGTGAACATATTGGTGCTAGAAGCCCAAATGGAGAGGAAAAAAAAATTAAAAAAAATCACTTTTTCTGGCCTTTGCGGCAGATATTCAAAAAGATGTCACTTTTATCAACAACAGATTCAATTTGAAACGAATCAGTTTACCAGAAATTTATACAAGGTGTGGCAGAAATAACTCCCATATAATGCAAAACATTTAATGTCAATAGTGTTTTCACATAATAAATGTTTTTTTTTACCATTATGTAGGAGGTATTTCTGCTGCACACTGTATAAGCTAAACAATCCCATCAGGTTTATAAAATATATAATTATATTTTATACAAAAGAATTACTTCACTGGGGAAATTACAATTAAGTAATTCTTTTGTATACATAAAAATATTATGGATCTAACTAACGCCTTTACCCACTGTGCCATGGGTCAAGGACACATGGCACAGTGGGTAAAGTTGTTAGTTTGATCAAGTGACAGTACCCAGAGAGTGTGAGTTCAATACCTGGCTAAGGCAGTGAAGAACTTGGAGAGGGGAATTAACAGGAGATAACTGACATCCTTTAGACATGACATGTAGAACTAAAACAGTCTACCACAGTGACCAAAATAAAGGGTTCACTTCGACATTCCAACCACCTGAAGAAGGCCGAAGCGTACAACGGCCAAAAAGTTGTGATTAATAAGGCAACAAAGATGAGGACAATAGTCTGAATAATATAAAAAATGGTTAAAATTATTTAATCTCTATAAGAACAAGTGTGAAAACAAATTTCATAAAATATCACCTTTTCTAGCTAAGGTAATACTTGAAGAAAATAATATTAAAAATAGATATTGGTTAAACTAAACACATTAATAAAAACTATTATTATTTTAATCCTGTATTTTCCTTAGCATGTAAATAATAATATCAAAATTCTCATTCTCTTTCACTCCCACTAGCCTTTTGCATCTTCGTGGCATTATCGCCTTGCTTGGAGTGTAATGATTAAAAAACCACAAAAAAAAAAACCCTTATATACTCATGTATAATTCGACTTCATGTATAGTGCAACCCCAGAATTTTGGCATGAATTTTAACCTCTCCAGAAAATATTTTTAGCTTTCTGCTATTGCTTTCTTTTGACATCAATTTTTGTACAAATTAAACATCAAAGTGGATCACAGAGCCTTGATATTTCTCTAACTCCTGATTGGTCAATTAATGCTAATATCATTCTTTTGTCTATGACCGCACAGTTAAAATTAATTTACCATCAAAAATCTGTCTGTGTTTTTGAGCCTATCACATGACATACAACATTGTAAATAGATAGTGACATCTTCAACACTTCTTCTTTTGCCTTCTCTCATACACAAGATGTAAAGTTAGAGAGATTACATCTATCCCTTATAGGAAGACACTATGAAACACATACACACACACATGTATGTACTAACATTGCATATCTCTTAACTCATTTTATTCACTCCTTCAACTACAAGCAACAGGAACTTAACTTCTAACAGTGAGCTTTGTGGCATCAAACAATTCGCCAAACAAATTCATGCTGTTCAATTGAAGTTCCTAACTTGGATTTCCAAGCATAATCCTAAACTTCAAATTCACTCACTCACCAACAAACTACACTTCAATTTTAACATCTACGGATTTTTATCGAGACAAGAATTCTAATCAAAGGACATACAGTTTGCTAAATAAACATTTTATTCAAAAAGCAACTTTGAACATAACCTAACACAAATTTACATCAAGTCAGCTATCTTACAGTCAAAAGATTCTTAATATTTAATGCACAATTTACTTAAAAAAGTCTTAAGCTTAAATGTTTATCTTTTAAACACAAAATTCAACCAACATTTCATTTAACAATTTTGATTACAACAAACTTTCCAGGAAGAACACAACTTATTTTCTTCAAAAGACTTTATTTGTTGAATCAACTTTTATTCTTGCAATATTTAAACTTCCATCTTTCATTCTTCATTAACAAAAAATATATATTCAATATTCAACAGGTAAAGGGAGACAACTCTTACCTTGATCTCCAATATCAAACTATAACAGAAATTTAGAATGTAAAATATTAATTAATCTGGACTAATTCTTTGAAAATACTTTTAATGACAGGAACACTGAACTCTCCGTTTCTAAAGAACATTCTCAGTCTCATGTTGTATATATTTGTCATATAAATGCTTTATTCTTGTTTTTCTAAAAAGGAATATTGTTTGTTTTATAATTTGTCAATGGTGACCTTGTGTTTTACACAAAGCTAAATGTTTGTGGAGAAGTTTATTTTCATGCAGCCAACACAAATAATACCTGATATATATATATATATATATATATATATATATATATATATATTCCTAATAACCTATTTCTCTTCAACATATTTACCTGTGCATAGTACAACTGGTCACTGAATATGCATGATTTTTAACCTCTTCAAAACATACCTGTGTACACTGTGACCCCTGAAGTTTTTGGCATGAATTTTAACCCCTCCAGAAAATAATACCTATGTATAGTGTGACCTGAATTTTGTGGCATGAATTTTAACCTCTCCAGAAAATATTTACCTGTGTATAGTGCAATTGGTCACTGAATATGCATGATTTTTAACCTCTTCAAAAAATCCTACCTGTGTATAGTGCCTGCCCCATAAAAACTAGCACTATACTTGAGTATATATGGTAGATATAATTTGTTTTTCTAACTTTTTATTTTTCCATATCAAATCACTATATTTGACATTTATATTAATATTTCCTATGTATCATACAAATCTCATTGAATGTTCAGATATTTATTTTAGTTTTATCATTTTTTTAAATTATCAAATTAACCACAGTGTTTTGGAAGTAGCAAAATTTCTATAAGAATTTTTCCTAAATTTTATCAATTGTTTAACTCTGATGGTGTTCTTTTTGAATGAAATTTTGGCAACAGAATTTAAGAAAAAAAAAAAATTTAAATATGCAACAACTGGTTTTCATATATTCTATTTGACATGATTTTTTTAAAATATTTTTAATCAATCCCCCCCAAACAAGGTGATAATGCCACTAAGATGCAATTGGCTACTGGCAGTGAGAGAGAATGAGTAGACTCCAAGAAAAGGAATCGAAAACCCAGTCCTAAGTAGTAAACAAGAGATAAACCTCTGATCTTGCTCAAAAGATCAGAGCAAAATGTGAACCGGCTGATAGGTGGACCTGTCTATTTCTTGTTAAGATATTTCACATTAGTCCTTTTAATATAAGAAGTATTATATTCCTAAATTCTTGTGAAACTATTTGACTTCTTCATTTTACAATCATGAAAAAAAACATTTTAGAAAAAAAAATGCATGCACTTTTTTATATAACAGAATGGATGATTAAATTGATTTTGATCAAAATGACATTCTACAAACATAAAATATAAACTAAAACATCAAAAAGTCATAGACGTATCAACAGTGCAAACCTACACTTAACAAAAAAGGGCAATTAATCCTTCAAGAGAGGTGCGATTATGGCTCTTTACAGCATCATGCCTTTTGTTACTCCCAGTACCAGATTTACATGTGGACTAGTTTGAGTTGCATCCCAGGCCATCTGACCCTCAAGAGCCCTCTAGTCTTGGGACCCTGATAAAACTATAAAAAAATTACATAAAGATTTAAGAACAAGGGTGATTTGTTTATTTTCAGATTTAATGGGGTTCCTTTGAAATAATTTGGGCCCCTTTAGTTGGAGTGGGTCTTTTAAATTCAATGGAACTCCTTCAAGGGGTCCTCATTTAGATATTGACACATTTTTTTTATGTACATGTAGATTTTTGATGTAGCTTTTTAGTTTCGCATAATTTTGTTTATTTTGCTCAATTTTAGACTTTATTGAACACAGACATGTAATAAGTACAAAATTGGTCAATATTGTACAAATTAGACAAAATGGTGCAAAACAAAATAAAAATAAAAAATTAAAATTGTGTAATTTTGAAAAAAATATCTAAAATATTAAAAACTTTGTAATGTTTATGATTTTTGTTTATATTTCTGAAATGAAGTATTATGTACACTATTTACATTATTCGAACTATTGTCCTCATCTTTGTTGACATATTTATTACAACGTTTCGCCGTTGTAACGATCAGCCTTCTTCAGGCGGTTGGATTGTCGAACTGAATCCTTTATTTTGCTCACTGGGGTAGACTGTTCTAGTTTCACATGCCATGTTTAATGGATGTCATCAGTTATCTCCTGTTAATTCCCCTCTCCAAGTTTTCCACCACCATAACCAGTTATTGAACTCACACTATTTGGGTCCTGTCACTGGATCTAACTAATGCTTTTAACCACTGCACCATGTGTCCTTAAACATGGCATGTGGTACTAGAACTGTCTACCCCAGTGAGTGAAATAAAAGGTTCAGTTAGACATTCCAACCACCTGAAGAAGGCTGGAGCATACAACGGCCGAAATGTTGTAATAAATATGGCAACAAAGATGAGGACAATAGTCCAAATAATGTAAATAGTTTATGAATTTTGTTTAAAATTTTAAAATTGGTTGAGTTCCAAAATCATTCAAAATTTTAGTTGACATCCATTATATTTTATACCCAAAAAGCATCATCTAAAAATATATCTTTTTTTTCTTTTGTTGTTATAGACTTGGGTGTTTTAAACATATGTAATGAAGGGGCTCCCAAATTCTATCAGTCCAGGGGATTGTTAAGGCCAATATCTGGCCTTGGTCTGTCTTTATGATCCCTCTTTGTATCTACACTACATGATGCTTCATTTTATTTAATCAAACTTGTCCAATAGTTTTTTTTCACAGCTTCCCTCTGCTTATGTTACCTTTTAAGTTTAAAATAAAGGGCAAATGTAACCCATCAATTTATCTTTGTTTAAAGTAAGAAAAAAGGAAAAAGTAGCCCACCTATTTACCTTTAAAAAAA